GTCACCACCGCTAAGCTAAAGGAGGCTAATGTTGGGCTATAAAGGAACTACAGCACGGTCACATGACTTCACGTCACCACCGCTAAGCTAAAGGAGGCTAATGTTGGGCTATAAAGGAACTACAGCACGGTCATGGTATTTACTGATGTATTTTATGTTGTAGAATAAAAATCTCTTCAGCTTGTGTTAACCACAGACCTTATTTCACGCTAACAACCAAAAACACATTCAGAAAAACCATTGTTTTCCAGAACCGGGGACAGGAAGTGCTCAAATTCTCCCTTCTTTCAGGGTTTAGGACTCATTCCTGCACCTCTCTTTGCTTGTTTGTGTTTGATAGCTCGTATTGTGTTAACGTGTGTCTCTGTTTCCTCAGGCGCTAAGATCGGACACCGCTCCCTCCTGAGGTATTACAAACAGCGTTTCGGCGCTCAGAAAGCTCTGGTTCTGAGCCACAACAAGAACGCCGTGGGCCGAGTCATGAAGCAGTACCGAGCTCTGGGCTGGGGAGGAGACGGAGGTGAGACTCATCCACTAAACACTATATTTATATATTTATTATAATTTGATATGACAGTTAGAGAAAGAAACCGAGAGGAATCAACCAGAATAGTTCATTTAACCCGAGGGGGAATTGGGTTTTAGTATAGTCGCTCTATTTAAGAAAGAAAGGGTCAAAATAATTGTATTTGTTATAAACAAGTCTAAGATTGCAATGTTCAATAATACACAATGCTATTTATATAAAAACAAAAGATTTTACAAGGAATGTCCAATTAAAGATTCAATATAAAAGAATACAAATATTTATAGTTGGAAATATCTCTTCTTGGCTTTAATAGTAAAAGGAATAAAATGTGACGTTTCCCCTTTTTCAATGGGAACTATAATCATTGTGTGTCAAACGTGTGATTCAAATCAAGGTAAAGGTGCGTTTCATTTGATCACCTGGAGCAGGGACGTGTTCCCTCTCAGCTTCTCCTTATTTTCTGCTTTCAAATGAATGTATATCAAGTTTTAAGCCACAATTTTACCATTAACTTTTTTTAATCTTATTGTTTTTTAATTGATATTTTAACTTTATGATGGATTTTAGTGTTTGGGGGGGTGTGAGGAAATATCCCTCTGGAGCAGTGTTTCTCAAACTCGTTCATACCAAGGACCATTTAACCAATAAAAAAACACTCGCGGACCGCCCAACTCTCCAAAGACAATAGGCCTGCTTTCCACTCCAACAGTTTATAACAAACTACAGCCTGACAGCTTAACCTTCTCTATATCCTTCTCTTCTCTAAGCCTTTCGTTCAAATGCGATTTAAAATGCTCTCAGGTTTTAAACCTCTTATGAAATGTAGACTACATTTATTACGGAGTTTATGTCCGAGCCGACCGACTCACAGATCGTTGGCTACTGAGAGAAATACAAAATTCACCGCATGTAGTACGGTGCCTACAAAACAAATAAAAAACGTTTCTGCAGCCCCAACAACCGCCTCTGATCATCAACTGACTTCATGCAATGCTTCATCAGATGCATATTTAGATAATAATCTCTATCTCACTCCTAACATCTAAATCTACTTCCAGCACGGATAAATGTTCATCAAATACATCCATTGTTTGTTGTGTACACTTCTTGAAATCTAAAAGATTGCAAATCGCCATGGAAACAAGTGGCAACATGTGTGACGGAGGTGTTGCGCTGGGCTATATCGTGCAATCGAAAGTGAAAGTCAAGCTCGCTTCATTGCGGAGATATTCCTGCGAGAGTGCGGAAAACCTAAATTAATGTATTTATTTCAAAATGTGAAATGTTACCAAAATACTCACGGACCACTAGGGGGCGCTCACGCTTTGAGAAACACTGCTCTGGGGAGAACTCAAGGATTTTAGCCTTTGCAGACCATTGACATGCACTAAAACCTATACTACTCACCCAAAAGAAGCACGATAGGGTTTCTTAAAATCGAGGAAACTGTTGGAGTAAGTATCGCGTTCACTTCTCATTATACCCCGTGATAACCGATGAATCTGCTCCCCTTTCTCTCCCAGGCTTTGCCGCCATGAACCACAAGCAGAAGGACATGCAGTACGTTCAGAAGATGAAGAACAAGTGGATGCAGAAGATGGGAATGCGCAACAACACCATCTTGCAGGCGCACTTCAGATTACAAATCATGTTCTAGACCCCGGCAGACTTCACACTCTTAGGATGTCAGCTTTTATCCAGAACACAAGACTTTCAGTGCAGCTGCAGAAACGCTGGCCTGTGGCACGACATCATTAACACGTGGAGACAAGTGAAGCTGTGTTGTGTTTGAAGGAGACGCAGTCATGTTGATGTGGAGGAATCTTTACTTTAACTCGAGAGCAGTTCAATTACATTTTCAGTTAAATCTGTGTTGAATACTTTCCGTAAATCTGCTTTGAGAATCAACCCGAGTGCAAAATCAACAACTTTGTGGAGATAAAAAGCATGACTCACGATCATTAAACTATGTGTTGACTAAAAGCTGCAGTAAATCGATATTAAGACAATATTTTAGACTCTGTTCACTTACAAAACCTACTCTGCATGTAATACATTAAACTGATAAATGTGAAAATAAATAGTTTTCCCTTTTTATCTGATCTTAACTAACATGTTCAATTTACAGTTATGTTTTAGGCTTGCAGAAATAACCACTTCTAATTGTCTTCTATGGAAGAGGATGAGGGCCACATGTGGGTTTTTCGGTTTTTCTTTAGATCTGACCAAAAGTGAATTATTATTTTTTTGAAAGTCAGGATTCTGTGAACCAAAGTTGGAATTCTGAGCAGGGTTCCCGCGGGGTCTTAAAAAGTCTTACATTTGATAATCAGAATTGAAGGCTTAAAAAGTTTAAATAGTAAAAAAAAATAAGAAAGTGTTAAATATGATTTAGAAGGTCTTAAAAATGAATTTGAAAGATACTTCTGTTACGATCATAGATATATATAAACACTCGATGACTCACCCGCGCTGCTGGCCAATGGACACCGATGTTGCCATATGGCCGCCATCTTGCTACAGGTAGCGCTCTCATTCATAACATTATGGTTTACTATTGAAATAACCATAGCTTGCTCAATTTTCAAACGTTTTTTTTTTTATAAACATCAAAGATGTAGTTATGATACTGCATACTTATAATCATGGACTTTCTATGAAAAAACATGACTTCACGTCACCACCGCTAAGCTAA